CTGTCCTCCCTGCCCCACAGGAAACGCTCCCTTTCTCTCTCGTTCCTGCTCTCTCTCTCTCTCACATTCTCTCATTCCGTTTCTCATTTTCTGTCTCATTCATTGTCTGCCTCTTTTTGTCTCTCATTCTCTGTCCTCGTCTCCCTCGCATTCTGTCTCTGTCTCCATCTTTCTTTCCTTCCCTCTGTGTCTCTCATTCTTTCTGTCTCTCCATCTCTGTCTTTCCATTTTTCTCATTCTCTTTCTCTTCCCCTTTCTCCATCTCTGTCTCCCTCTCTCTGTGACTCTGGCCCTGGGAGCAGAGGCCTGAGAAGGTTGGATCACTGGACTAGGGAGGTGGAGCAGGGTGAGGGAGGGGGTAGGAGTCCCAGGCCAGGGGCAGTGGGGCAGGAGGAGCCCCGGGGGAGGCATCGCTCCGTTTCCCAAGGGTCCTGCCTCCTGGGCTTCCTGGTGAGGCCTAGGGGAACAAGCCCTCATTTCTGCCCAGCCACATGGTGACTTGAGTGGATCCACGGAGGAGAGCGTGGCTTCTATTTGGTGTGGACACCCTGGCTTTCCAGAGGGGCCCACCGTTTGGGGTGGGTGTGAGCTCACACCACTTCCCTGAGGAATCCAGACCGGCCTGGAAGGGAGGGCAGGATGAGCCTGGCCTCAGCGGGTGGCTGCCTTTGCCAAGCAGAGCGTCTCAGCAGCACCCAGACACTGTGGCAGCCCGGGCAGCCCCTGCACATGCCGTCCTGCGGGCACAGTCAGGGGCTGCGGCTGTGGGGGATTCGGCACTTCACAGGGCAGGGGCCTGCACGAAGGTGGATGTCTGCAGGAGCGCCTGGACGTGAGGCGCGTTCACAGCCGGCCTGCTTTTGCGTTTTCTCTCCACGGTGAGGCTCCTTCCCCAGCCGTCAGGACCTGTCTGTGTTGTGCCTCCCCGATCCCTTGGAAAGCATGCTGAACCCTAGGGCGGGTGGGGCAGGGAAAACCCAGCCTGGCCTTAAACACTTCCTGCAGTCCCTTGGGGCTTCGGCCGGCTGCCCAGCGTGTCCACTCCAATTACACATCTGGAGCTGGGGACGACACCGCACAAGGGGCTCTGGGCGCCGTGGGAACCACTGGGAGTTGACTGAGCTACAATTCCATGGGTTCCAGGACCTTCACAAGCCCCTGCTCTGCCTGGGGCCACCGCGCCCTGCTGGGTCTCCTAGAGTCGATGTCTGCTGGGAGCTGTGTCTGGCTATCCCCGAAAGGTCTGCCCATCTCCTTCCCCACTGCACAGTCACCCTGGCAAAAGGCCGTAAGCGCCTCTAGGGAAGGCTGGGAGAGCGATAAGAACAGTAAGATTTTGGTAGCACAGTGGGTCCCCTCTCAAGGGGCCTGGCCTCCCCGCCATCCAGGAGGTTCTGGGTCTGCAAACTGGTTCAAATTTGGGACTTGACTGAGGAGCCTGGACTTTGGAATTTTTAATATAATTTTTTTCAGACCGGGTCTCGCTCTGTTGCCCAGGCTGAAGTGCAGTGGTGTAATCATAGCTCAGGGCAGCCCTGAATTCCTGGGCTCAAGCAATCCTCCTTCCCCAGGCTCCTGAGTAGCTGAGACTACAGGCGCACACCATGATGGCCATCTAACTTGTTTCATTTTTATTTATTTGTATTTTTAGTAGAGACAGGGTTTCGCCACATTGGCCAGGCTGGTCTCGAACTCCTGGCCTCAAGTGATTCGCCTGCTTCGGCCTCCCCAAGAGCTGGGATTACAGGCATGAGCCACTGCGCCCAGCCTGGTAATTTGTTTTCCTTTCTTTTTTTTTTTTTTTTTAATAGACACAAGGTCTTGCTATGTTGCTCAGGTTAGTCTTGAACTCTGGGCCTCAGACGTCCATACTTGGCTTCCCAAAGTGCTGGGAGTAGAGGGGTAAGCCCCCACACCTGGCCTGGTTTTGACTGGAGTTAGACTTCTGTTCACCTGACTGTGGGCCAGAGATGGCTTGTCCTGCCTACTCCCCTCCCCTTACCTGGAGAGCTTCTTAGGGCTGGGAGGCTGTGGGGAGTTGTGGGTACGATGCACCTTCCAGGCAGAGAACCGGCAGCCTCGGCTTCTCCAATGGAAACACAGGGGCCACTTTGCCATGGGCCAGACTGCCGTCTACTGGATGACAGTGAAAAAGCCCACCCTTCCTGGGAAACGTCTCCCCCTCACACCATGCCCAAGGTTGTCTGGATGTGGCTTAGGTGGGAGGAGCAGGGGGCAGGAGCAGACGCTTGCCTCCCTAGCGCCATGCACCCTTGGGCGGGTGAACACTGCCCTCTGGGAGGGGCCACCAGCGGCTGCGGTTGAGGCAGCAGGCAGACCGTGGCGGGTGAGGGCAGCCAGACATGAAAGGGAGTTTGAGCCTGGGAGATTTGTGGAAGGGGGCGTGGGAGATTCATGGGAGGGGGCGTGGTTCCCCTCGGGTCTGGGTAGGCTGAGGGGACCACCTCTATCTGCCACCATCATCCTAGGTACAGGGAGGTGAGAGCTGGGCCAGTCTGCCAGACCTCAGGTATATCTCTGGCATTACCCTGCAAGGGGCACTGGGCCCTACCACCCACGTGCCCTGGGTCCTGTCAGCCACATGCCCTGGGTCCTGATAGGCTCCTGGCTGGGCGGGGGCTTCAAGTGGGGTTTAGTGGGGCCATTCAGGGCTGGCCTGTCTGTCCCACCACCACAGAAGGCTGCCAGGAGCCGATGGCCTCTCTCTGCTGGGGAAACAGCAGGGCCCTTCCCAAGTCCATGGATGTTGGATGTTCCTTCTCAGCACCCTCGTGCACCAGATGTGGTCCCAGAGTCCAGGGCTGGGACTAGAGACCCCTCGCCCTCAGCCGACCAGGCAGCTGCTCCTTCCTTGGGGACCACTACGCTGCCTGGGACAGCTAACCGGGAGAGCTGCCTGGGATAGAGAGCTCTGTGTGGCCAGAGGCTTGTGATGCACATTTACAATATCACGCCTCTTGGAGGCAACCTCTGTGCCTTTAAGCATGTGATCGCTGGGGGTCTCCCGTCCACCTGCCCTCCTCTGCTGACTCTCGTCTCCAGGTGCTGGAGCCGGACCTTGGGGGCTCACTGGTGCCCATGGTTGTGCAGCAGGTGGGCCTCCCCGGGGTTGCTGCAGCCTGGGTGGCTGGGCTGCTGTCTGCCCTCCCTTTGCTGAGCCAGCCCCATTTCAAGGGAGGTGGCCCAGCCCCTCATGAGCAAAAGAGGACAAATGAGTGCCCTCTCCCCACCCCACAGGAGGGGGTCCTAGGGAGGGATGTGAGGCCAGTCACACTCAGTGGAAAAGAAAGAACCAGGGGCCAGGGCTTTCATACAGGACATCACGCCTTAGAGAAAAGCCATCTCTCACTGGAGTTGGATGGGTCTCAGATGAGGAAACCAAGGCCCCGAGAGGGAGTGATTGCCCAGGCCCGGTCTCCTCCCTGCCCCAGCCTTGCCCTGCCCCACATGCACCTGGAGCTCACGTGGCAAGCTGGCCATGATGGACTCAGGAAGGGCATGGTCACCAGGGTGGCCCACGTGGCCAGGCTTTCCCAGGGAAGCAGCGCCAAGAGCTCAAGGGGTGGTGAGGGTGGCTCAGAACCCTCGTGGGGGCCATTTTCTGCTGTTCTTATCTTCTCCTTTGTTTTCTTCTGAGGATCCCTCATATCCACCTGTCACTGCCACAGTCAGGTCGCTGATGGGCAAGGTTTCACAGCCTTCCAGGGCATTTGCTCTTCCCCCTGGGTCCTGCGGTCACTGTGCCAGAATCAGCCCCTGCAGGTGCAGAGGTCCCTGTCTAGAGAGGCCTTCCTTCCCGGGGGCAGTGCTGGCCCCCAAGCCCAGGTCTCTGAGGCCCCTGCAGCACGTGGCCCGGCAGGCTTGCTGGCCATCAGTGTTCTTGGTCTTGGCAGCCTGGCGTGTGTGGGCGGCACCACCCTGCACTGACCAGGGTCTGCAGGCGGCAGGTGGATGACATGCCACCACCAGCCTGGATCGGAACCTGTTCTTGTGTCTCTTGCTTTGTGGCACAGAGGCCTCATCCAAAGAACTTCAAAGCCTTCTGGACCCACCCCCAGGTCTGTCTAGAACGTGTGCACCTGCACTGGGTCCTCTGACACCATCCTGCTTCAGAAGCAGCTCTGAATCCGCATCAGCAGCGGGGACGAGTCTCTGGGCGGCGACTCTGCCCTTCTAGCTGCCTGGGCGTGCACCTTCCATCCCAGGAGTCCTCCTTCTCCCCAGTCCCGGCCAGGAAACAGGAGAAGGGCGTCGCCCGATGGCTGGTGTGGCAGTGTCTTGGCCGCTAGCTCCCCTCTCACAGTTTAAGAATGGGGAGAGCACCAGGACCCCAAAAGGTAGAGCGACTCACCTCTCGGCCCCAACAGGCCACGTCGCTTCATCCCCAGGCCCAAAGCAGCCACCGTGCCCAACAGGGAGGAGCGCTTCCTTGGCCCCGCTCCTCGCGGGGGTCAGCAGGCGCAAGGGGCGCAGGCTTCACCGGCGGGCCCGCCTCCTCCTCGCCAGGCTTCCCCAGGAACAGCCCCACAGCGCCCAGCTCGGGGCAGACGCCCGGGTCCTCGGCATCCCCGACTGTCCCAGCCTGGAGCCTCGCCGGCAGCTAGCCCGGCCGCCAACGCCTCCCCTCCCCTCCCCCTCAGTACCGCCCCCGGGGCCACCCCAAGCTCCGCCGGCAGCGCCCCCGACGCTCTACCCGCGTCCCGGTGCCCGCCCCCGGCCCCCCAATGCAGTCCCGCGGCGGTCGCCCCAAGATCTCGCCCGCCCGGCCCTCGGTTCCCACCGCCCTCCGCCCCTCCTTCCTCCGTCCCCGCGGGCGGGGCGCGCCTGAGACCCGCGCCGGGAGAGGCGGCCGGGGCCCCGCGTGGCCAGGACGGGCGGAGGGCGGGCGGGCGCGCGCGGCTCGGGTTTCGGCCCGCCCCCGGCGCCGGCGTGATCCCCTCCCGGGCGCGGGGCGGGGCCGGGCCCAGCTGGCCGCGCTCCGGGCGCTATAAGACGGCGGCGGCCGCGGCGCGCCCTGCGCGGAGCTGGGAGCGCGATGGTCGGCCGCCGCGGCGCGGCAAGATGCTGGATGGGCCCCCGCTGGCGCGCTGGCTGGCCGCGGCCTTCGGGCTGACGCTGCTGCTCGCCGCGCTGCGCCCTTCGGCCGCCTACTTCGGGTAGGTGCCTTCCGCGGCCGGCGCGCTCGGGTGGGCGGGGGCGGCAGGGCCGGGGCGGGGGCGCCGGAGTCCCCGAGGCACCCGGGGTGGCTCGGGCCGGGGCGCGGAGGGGCCGCCGGGTTGCCTGGCGCTGTTTGTTTGCCGCGCGCGTCGCTCCGTCCGCGGCGGGGCACGGTAGAGGCGGGCGGACCCGTCGGGCTTGCGCGGGGTCGCGGTCCTCCGTGACCGCGGAATCGTCGTGGTCGCCGCGGCGGTGAGCGGGACTGCCTCTCGCTTAGGGACTGGGATCAGGTCCTGGCTTCTTGGGGCCGCCCTGTCCTTGCCAAACGGCTGGAGCCCGAGTCTTCGGCCGCAGCCCATCGCCCACCTAGCAGCTTCCCCCCCTTTCTCTCCTCGAGAAGTTAATTTAACAATAACAAAAATACGTACAAAATCCAGATGTTCCTTGCGCTGAGCCCCAAAGGGAGAGAGAAAAAAAAAACCCTCCAAGCTGGAGGAATTTGTTTTTCTGGCGCTTTGCTTCTGACGCCGTGGCGCGGACCGCTGCCCGCGGGAGCGCGTCTGTAGGGCCCGGCCGGGGCGCCCCGCGGTGTCACTGTCCGTGCTCGCGTGTCTGCCGCGGCGCTTTGCCGGGCTGTCGGCGCGTTTCTCTGCCTTTCCTTCCCCACTCCAGGCCGGGGATGCCCAGCCCAGCGACCTTTATAGGGACCCTCTCTCCGCTTCGGGCACGCCGAGGTGCAGAGTGGCACCGTGCGAGGCAGCGCCCCCGGCCTCCCCGCCACCCTCCCCCCTCTGCCCCGGGCGCCGCCCCTGGGAGCCCTGGCTGGCCTTCGGATCCCAGCCCCCGACCTGGGCGCCCTGGGCCGCCGCCCTCCGCCGGTCACCTGTTCCCGGCCCTCTGGCCTGAGCGCCGGCGCGCGGCGGCCTGGCCGGCAGAGGGCCCCGTTGGTCCAGGAATCTGGCAGCCGCCAGGGCGGGGAGAGGCCGCCTGGGCCGAGGAGCCCTGCAGGTGTATCCTGTTCTCAAAGAAAATAAAATATTTTCATGGGAAACTTTCCCTTTGTGTTTTTCTTTCTCCCCCTTTTTTCTCTCCGTTCCTTTCTTCTGGGTCGTCTTCCAGGGTCAGCTCGGTGTCTCCGTTCCCTGGGGCCCCCACCCGCAACCCTCTCCTGGCTCCGACTGTGGGTACGGCCCTGGGCCCGGGCTGGCACGCCACGGCACGCCATCTGTGCAGCCCGTAGCCTCACCCGGGAGGGCAGGAGGCAGGGCCACAGGTCCGCGGTGAGTCACGGGGGACTTGCCAGCCAGCTGTGCTTCCCTGCTCTCCGGCCCAGCGGAGGCTCTGCTCCTGGGCTCGGGACACACCCTGGGCTTGTCTGGGCTGCAGCGGCTTTGTCCCTGCTGTGATCCGATTCCTGGCGATGGGGTGGGGCTGGGTCCTGGCCTCTCCTTCTCCGATCTGTCTCTGGGTTTTGCGCCCTGGAGGAGGCCAAGGGGCTCTGCTGCTTTAGGTGTGTGCGTGTCTTTCTGCTCTCTTGCAGACAGTGAGTCCAGGCTGGTGCCCGGCACACAGCAAAGGCTTTCATGCTGTGGTGGCTTCTTTGCCAGGCCCCGTGGGCCCTGCTTCTTGGCTCCAAAGGACCCATCTAGGGAGGATTCCTGAGTCCTGTCCTGAGGGCAGTTCTCCATGTAGCCGCCATGTGGGAAGTCCAGAGGGCAAAGCCTTCAGGGACAGCTGGCATTGCAGAGGACGGCTGGGACTCTGTTTGACGGAGAGTGAGCGCCTTCCTGAACCAGGGGCTGGGTAGGCATCGTGGGTCAGGGCAGGCCAGGCTCCCCCCTCTAGTCAGCTCCTGAGGCTGGGCTGGGGAGGGGAAGAGGCACAAAGGGCTGCAGGCTGGCTTGTGTTGAGAAAGGCCTCTCCTGCTGGTTGGGGTCTGGGGCTGTGGCTCCTGGCCCAGCGAAGGCAGGGGTGGCCCAGGGCATTAGAAGCCAGGCGGGGCTGGAGTGGCACTCCCCAGCTCCAGTCCAGGGAGCAGGGAGAAGGGGCTGGGATCTAGGGACTTTTTTTCCCTCCCCCTCTTGAAAGCTCTGCCTGGCACGGAGGCTCCCGGGCAAGAACGCGGCTCCAGTTACAGCCCAGGAACCCGGAGGGGAGAGGCTGGCCCGGGGGAGGGTCATGTGGGCCCACGGGAGCCCTCCCTACCCCCTCCCTGAGCTGCAACCCAACCCTGGCCAGTGCCCGCTGCCCTCCTGGAGGCCTCTGTCGACAAGGCTGGACCCCCTGTGGGGAAGAGGCTCCCTTGGCCTGGCCCTGCACCTCTGACTGACTAGCAGGTGGAGTTTCCATCTGGTTATCCCAGGGCTGTGTCCCCATGCCTCCTCGCTGGCCTGGCCCCAAGCCCTTCTAGACAGAGGGGTAAGCAGGGAGGCCAGCCCGAGGCCATGGGGAGGGCTTGGGGTGCAGACTCAGACCCTCTCCCGAGGCTGCAGCGAGAGGGTGGGTCTGGGGGTGGCCTGAGGACATGGCTTGTCCTCCGTTGGGAGGCCCCTCTGGCCTCACTCTTGCTGGGTTGTGGTCTCAGGTGAGATAGTGGATCCAGATTAGATACTGGGGCTGCTCCTCAGCTGGGCCCACATGCTCTGGATGTGGTGTTGGGGCTGGGGCTGGGGGCTGTTGGTGCCCAGCGGGGCTTGGACCCCCGCCCCTTTTCCTGGCTCCCTGGCACTGTGGCCTTTTCCTTAGGGGTCCCGGCTGGCTTTGGACAAGGGCTGCAGCTTCCCACGGGGGCTCTTCTCCAAAGGCCCTGAGGCTGTTTTGTGGTGGTGGCCTTGCAGATGACATCACTCAGGAAACATTTGCAGACCACTCTGGGGGCCGAGATGGTGGGAGGCCGGGCCCTGCCAGCTTGTCCCCTTCTCTGGGCCTCAGTAGCCTGGAGGCCTGCCTGGAAGAGGCATGAGCAAGGCTGGCACTGAGGGATTGTTGAGGTGCCCCGGCTGTGGCTCCAGAGCCAGCCATCGGGACTGGAAGGTGCTTAGAACTGGTCCAGAGGCCAGGCTGGAGGGAGTGACCACTGTGAACCGGGGCCTGGTGGAGGCTGTTTGTTATTGGATGTAACTCACGTCCTGTGAAATCCACCCTTTTAAAGTACACATCCCCGTGGTTTTGAGTACCTCGTTCGCCGCGCCGGGCCTTGCAGCTCTTACCACTATTTAATTCCAGAACGTTTTCCTCACCCCAGAAACCTCATGCGCATTAGGCAGTCGCTGCTGTCCCCTCCCCCAGTCCCTGGCAAGCACTGGTCTGCGTTCTGTCTCCACGGGTCCGCCTGTCCCGGGCGTTTCCTAGAAATGGAATCCTATGCGGTGTGGCCTCCGCGCCTGGCTTCCCTCACTCAGCATCACCGCTGTCGCACGCGTCACAGTGCCTTCCTCCTTCTCACTGAGTTAGACCCGACTGGATGAATCTCAGAGATTTTGGCTGGTTCATCAGTTGACGTTCATCTGGATTATGTGCACCGTTCGGCTCTGATGGATACTGTTGCTGTGAGCGTTGATGTGTGAAGTCGTGTATGTTTTCAGTTCTTGGGGTACATACCTAGAAGCAGAGCTGCTGAGTCACATGGAACTCTGCCCGTCATGTCTTTGTTTTTGTTTTGTTTTATTGAGACTGGGTCTTGATCTGTCACCCGGCTGGAGTCTTACTGCAGCCTCCACCTGCCAGGCTCAGCCTCCGCCCACCTCAGCATCCCAAGTAGCTGGGACCACAGGCACACGCCACCACGCCTGGCTCATTTTTTTAAGTTTTATTTTTTGTAGAGACAGGGTTTTGCCATGTTGTCCAGGCTGATTTTGAACTCGTGGGCTCAAGTGATCCTCCCGCCTTGGCCTCACAAAGTGCTGGGGTGACAGGCGTGAGCCCCCCTCCCCACCTGCGTTGAGGTTTTTGAGGGCCTGCCAAACTGCCCTCTAGACACAGCGTTTGACGTTTCCGCCAGCAGCACGTAAGGCTCGTTTCTCCACTTCGTCGCCGACGCTGGTTTTCTATTTTCTCCTGCGGCCGTCCTAGTGGGTGTGGAGTGGCACCTTGTGTGGCTCTGACTGCGTTTGTCAGGTGGCCAGTGGCGCTAGCACCCTTTCCTGACCTCATGGGCCGTGGGTCTTCTTTGGAGAATGTCCTTGCAGCTCCTTTGCCTGTTTTTAGTGAGCGGGGGCTGCTTGTCTTTCTCCTGTTATGAGAGCTCTTTCCATATTCTGGATCTCTCCTTGGACTGAGGAGAACCTCGCCTCTCGACCCCTGAACTTGTGGGCACTCTTACCCCTGCACAAGGAGCCAGCCACACCCTGACAGCCACACTGGGTGCGTGGGGGCAGCCAGGACGTCCCCCATTTCCTAGAGCCTGGTGTGGGGCAGTTGTGGGTGCCCAGGGGCAGGCAGAGGAGGTTTCAGAGAAGCTGCTGTCGAGGGTGAGGGGAGGGGCCGTGTTTCCCACATTAGTGCCAACATCAGACCCCACAGGGTCCAAGAGGGAGGCCGCCGGCTGTGGGTGAGGCAAGCCTGGCTGGTCCCATGGCTCTGCCTCTCTGAGCACCAGGCCTGGGGCACAGCTGGCTGCCTCGATGAGGGGCACCTGCAGGTCCCTGGTGGTGCCAGAGAAGGAGGGGTGGGCCTGAGGTGTGGAATCAGAGGGCTGTGTGGTGGGAAGGAGAACCCTGGGAAGGGGCTGGCAGGAAGGGGGCATCTGGGGAAGCCCTTGGCTGGGGCCTGGGTTGGATGCTCTGAGAACTGCAGGCCACGGGCTTTGGAGTAGCTGAGAGCACAGGCTTAGGTTTGGGCAGGTGCTGTCCTGGAGACCCCCCAACCACTTAGGACACCCGAGGAAGCATGTGGGGCCTGGCCTCAGGAGGAAAGGCCACACAGAGTGCTCTGGAAGGCCAGGAGGGCGGGGAGGAAAGGGGTCAGGCGGCTGCCTTGTTTCAAGAGACCATGGAAGTGG